ACCTCTGAAGATACTTTATCATAATAATTGTTTAATTTGGTCATATTTTCAACTAAAGGCCTACATGTTTCTAGCTTCTCTAATTGGCAATTAGTAAGTCGAGAAGTAACCTCAGAGCGCTTGTGAGTATTATCTTGCATAGCTGGAAACACTATCAAGCGATTTAATAGCCAAATACTTCAGCCAATATTCAGTACTCAGTAGTATTTCGTCCTAGAAATAGCTTTCCATATTTGACAATTTCTGTTAGGAATGTAAACAAAACTCGTGTATAGATACTGGCATTGCCCGCGGCTCCACCCGCATTCAGATGACCAAAAACCAAATACTTAGGTTTTACATATTAGTATAACTCTTACATTACAGTTTTTGTATTTTTTTCTCAGAAATTAGATATTTTCCCATGGTAAAAAGTATTCTATATGTTGACCCGGATAACCAGCTATCACCATACCAAATTTCATCAACATCCCTCCAGTAGTTTTTCCATAATGCGGTAACAGACAGACAGACAAAAATTCTAAAAACTATAGATTTGGCCTCTGTATCGATAATAATGACTATTTCAATAAGATTTTCCAATAAATATTTAATGTACAGATTCGACTTCGAATTTTATTATATGTATAGATTATTTACTAACTAAATATGACAATATAATAAAAATATCTAAGAAGTTTATAGACACTTTATTCATATAGATAAATACTTGCGAATTACCTTAGATTCGCTCGGGTGCGTCCATATACGAGTATAAATTAGCTTAAATAGATATTTATAAATAGTTATTAGCCAGCGTGAGCCTAATTTTGTTTTTCGTGAATTTTTCCGATGTTTTAATAGTTATTCTGTTATTCGGGACGGAGAAAAATCCAACAAATCAAAGATCATAAAAATCGGCCTAGCCGTAACTAGCCCGACTTTGTTTTATATACAGAAGGTGGCGTATTATCTCCTTTTCTCTTCGCTTTCTCAATTCTCAACACATTTCATCTTCTTATCACATGTATAGAGACTATATTTAGATTTAGCGCCATTCAAGAGATGATGGGGCTGTAATACCTTATTGTTCAACAGTTAAAGATCTTGGTGCTCACTTAAACCAAACTCTATCTTGATCAGGACAAATTAAAGAAGTAAAAAATTATTCTTTAAATTGGGTTCTTTGCTATACATCAATCTTCGTTCTATACTTCACATTCCTACCAAAATTATGTTAGCAAATTCTCTTCTCCTTTTGATTCTCGATTATGCAGACGCAAGCTATCGTAATCTGATCGAGGACCGTATAAATGAACTTGAACTACTCCAAAACTTTGTAATTCAATTCATATTTAATTTGCGTAAATATAACCACATATCTGAATATCGATCAAAACTCAAGTGGCTCCCAATCCGCTGTCACTGGAATTCTTTCTCTTCTGTACTGTTTGTTGTTTAATCCGACGTCCTTATTTAAAGGACAAGTTTGAATTTCTAGGAGCTCATACATATAGGTTACGATTTTCAGAGAATTTGATGCTAAAAATACCTAAACATTCTTCGAGTACTCCTACTCTGTACAAGCAACCAAACTCTGAAATAGTTTGCCTGTTCATATAAAACGTTCCAAATTGATAAAAATATTTAAAAATCTATTAAAAGTCATTTTTTAGATAATTTCTCTAAATGGGAAGTCGACATTGTGTAACATTTATATTAATTATTTAAATTTAAATATGTATTAGTATAATTTATAGATATGTATTATATATATATATATATATATATATATATATATATATATATATATATATGTGTAGAATTTCTAAGTATTAGTTTGTATTGTGGTATGTATTATATATAATATTTAATATTCCACCCACCCTGTATAGTCTTCCATATTTCCTAACCCAAAGGTTGTATGGAAGAAATCGTTAATTAGCGATAAGACTGCCTTTTGTGCACACTTTTGTTTTTGATGTTTTGCTTACTGTATTTACTTCATTGTTGTACAGTGCAATAAAGTGTATAAATAAATACATATTATTAAGTATATAGATTATGAGAGAGAATGAGTGTAACTTGGTCAGAATCTTTTGGAGAGGGATTTGTTCTGGGATTCTAATTAAATACAGTTACAAGCCATCAAGTTCAACTCGAAACAGTGGAATAAATGTAGGTAATTGCGAAATATTCTTTTCATTTATTCACTTGCTCTTGAGAAACAGCTTTAATAATTCATAGCAATTTTTCAACCTTTAACGAGCTTTATTTTTTATTCTTAGGGCTTAATTTAAAACGTTTCACATTAATGGCTGTAATATCTGAATGAGACCAATTAGTGTACAAACGCGCTAATTAATTGCTCTAAATGAATTTATTATATGTTTTCTATAAAACAGAAAAAGATATAATTGAACACTGAATATTTTATAATAATATCTCGATTTTATATAGAAATGTTAGTGATTGGCTGGATTTTATTTAAAATATATCACAAGTAGTTCTAAGAACAGGAGACCTCGCGATTGCAAACTTCATTTTGAGGAGCTGTTCTGCTCATCATGCAGAAGATCCCCCTCAAAATTTTTATGAGACCAACTTAAGATCTTTCAAATAAAAAAAGAACCATTGAAATCGAATCTTATAAGGCGGAGATATCCAATAGCCTCCTTAATAGTACCTAAATACATACATTTCGTATTTATTCCCTATTTCAAGAGCGATTTTCGCATTATTTTCTGAACTACAAATCCTGTATATTAGACCCATATTCTGTATGACTAATAACTAATTTTCGTTTTATATTTCCCATCCAACTAAATAACCGTGTGGTCTGAGAAATTGGTATTTTCTTACTTTGAGTGCCAATTGATACCGAATAAACTTATATAGGTATAAAGTCCTTCTACAGATCATCTTTATGAATTAAAAATAAAATAAAAAAACATGCTAATAACGAACAAAAAAGTCAGAGCAAATAAGAAATTTTAAATTAAGAAGAGAAAATATAATTCGCTGTGAAATGAATTGAAAACTCCAAGTAACCTTAAATAATTAATGAGAATCTTAACTTTTGATTCGTTAATTAATAATGCAAAGCAATTACACTATACTGATATATAATGTTAAAGAGTTTGTTTGTACGTGCTTATCTCTGGATCTACTGGTGGCGTTAGAAGCGTCCAGATGACCAAAAACTGAATTCTTAGGTTTTACATAGAAGTATACTCTTACATTGTAGTTTTTGTATTTTTTCTCAGAAATGAGATATTTTTTTGCGGTAAAAAGTATCCTATATGTTGACCGGGATAACCAGCTATCGCCATACCAAATTTCATCAAAATCCCTCCGGTGGTTTTTCTGTGATAAGGTAACAGACAGACAGACGACAGACAGACAGACAGACAAAAACTCTAAATAATATAAATTCGGCCTCTGTATCTATAATAATGTTTATTTCAATATTTTTTTCCAAAAAATATTTAATGTACAGATTCGGCTTAGTTACAATTTTAGTATATGTATAGATTTATTTAAACGGTGCGGACGAAGTCGTGAGAAAACGCTAGTATGTTCTATTCCTTTCAATAAAGTCCGAGTTATAACGTGAAAGTAATCTTATGAAGCGTATACCCTTATTTTACCCTAATGTTCTAGGGGTGGGGCAGAATTTATGGAGACTCAAAGATACGCTCAATCCACCGCACCTTAATAGTACAATAATTTACCTGAGTCTGGACAATGTAAGGCACTTTTGAGTTATTGAAATACGATATTGTATTTTTATTGTAAGATATTCGTATTTTTTATTTTGAAGTGTTAAATAAAATCTCGTTATATAAAATCGGACTATTAACCATACTAATATTATAAATGTGAAAATGTGTATGTCTGTTTGTTTGTTTGTCCTTCTTTAACGTCGAAACGCAGTGACGAATTGACGTGATTTTTTGTGTAGAGATAGTTGGAGAGCTGAAGAGTAACATAGGCTACATTTTACCGCGGAAAACTATCTCATTCCCACAGGTTAAAATACAACCCAAAAAATTATTTATGATCAGAATTACTTTAACCTTGGTTTTCAATTATTTTTCTCTTAAAAATAAAAGTCCCTTGTACTTAATAGATATAAAAATTACATCAACCTACTCGTATTCAAATATATAAAAAAATCTAAGATTAAGCGCTGTTCGAGTTCTTTTATGTACAATGTACACAAAGATGTTCTTTTAGTGATCCTTCCTTTTCCTTTTTCCCGTTTTCCGCTAGTATGGAAAAACTGCTATAAAGCAGCGATAAAAGTTATATTATCAAAGGTAAAGGTATTTTATTTAAATTTTCCTTTTTGACTGACATGCAAAAATGAGGATGTACTCAGTCAGTTCTTGCCTTAGAAATACCGATGTTTTATAATACTTTCGTTAATTGTGAATCAATTTTCGTGATTATTTTGTTTGTGAATGATATGTTATACTTCAAGAGACATTTCATATTAATTTTAAGAATAAACCAACTTTAAGGCATATTACTTTAAGTAATTTGTTTACTATAAGTAATTAAGCAATCAATGTACCTTTTAAATTGTATATGTATGCATGTATTCAGCCATTTATAACGAGAACATTTATCCCACTGCTGGACACGAGCCTTCAGTGCGAGAGGGAACTGGTCTAGTACGGATCTCCATCCACCACGCTGACCAAACGCGCCTTAGCGGACTTCACATATCAGACATGCAGGTTTCTTCACGATTTTTTCCTTCACCGTAAGACAAGTGGTACATACGTTGGATATAATTCGCACATAAAATATCAGAGGTGCAAGACCCGGGATTTGAACCCTCTTCACTCGGTTTCCGAAGTAAATGTGTTACCACTAGGTTACACTTCAGTAAGTTACTTTAAAAATAATGAGAATGATAAAACATAAAAAAAATTACTGTCCCTGAATTTTTTTGTAAATAAGTCTTCATTTATGAAATCAATCCATTTTGTTTTTTTAATATAAGTACTTACCAAAAACATCAATACAGCCGATTTGCCATGTCATGGTCGGCTGAGTGTTGATCTGACACATATAACAGCCCCTATCTTCTGCGCGTAGAGGCCTAATTCGCAGTTGCCATGTTCTAGGGGAATCCAGACTGACTGCGTATCTAGACCCTAGGACAGCTCGCTCATGCATGGTCAGAACTGTCTGATCTTCCGCTCGAAGCCAGCCTACCTGAACAATAAATATAACCTATTAATATATATGTAACTAAAAAATGGAATAAAGGAGAGAAATGTATGTGTGTACGTTTGTTACTTCTTAACTTTGGAAACGGCTGGACGGATTTGGATGAAATTTAGTATACCTACAGATAGGCTATGATCTAGAGTAACACACGTATCCAAGCGGAGCAGGGGCAAGTCGCTACCAAGTTACCAAGCTACCAAGTTGAATAAGAAGCTTTCAGTTATTTATTCAATTAAATGATACAATTTTATTGTTCTCATATATCAAAAAACAAAAACGTACGTGAATATTGAAAAACTTATTTCATTGACTTTTAAAAAGCAATATTTCATTGTTATACCTCTTCAATAAACTTTACGAAGAGAAGCTCGAATTATATTTGCAGTAGAATACGAATTTTGCTTATTGAGTACAATCATTAAAATTCACATTAGTAATTTGTTATGGCTTTAGAAAATGGGACGATTATCATCCATTACAAGTCGTTCCAAAACAGCGGCTTGGCGAAATGCCTACAGCATAACAATGCACAAAAATCAGTGTGCACCTTCTCTGGTTTACGAAACGCCTCGTGAATTTTAATACCACACACAAACCTTTAATGGTGACACAGAATAGAAATTGTAACGTAATATGAAAAATATTACTTTAAAATATTGTGCCTTATGTTTGAATACATATATAATAATATTTAATATGTTCACAATTTAAGACGTTATAAATAAAACTATCTTTTCGGATTTTTTCGCATATTTATTTAGATTTTTTATTCCCGACGTTTCGAGTGACGTAAGAAAAAAGAAGCAAGAAATAAAAATTCAAATAAATCCGCGAAACGATAGTTTGATTAAAATGTTAAATATTCTTGTAAATCCAAGAAAGTATTGTATTAACACTTAACGGGATGAATATTTGTAAGAAAGACAAAAAGAACAATTTCCATGTATTCTCTAAGAAAAACCGTACATAGAAAATAAAAAAAAATATAATACAGATTAATAGAAAATTTTCCATCACTTTAACTTAGAAATCTAAAAGTTATTATTCCTTCTTGATACTAATCTCTACAACAACCAATTTTACACAAATACATCGAAAAATGAATATTTTAACGAATATTTATTTTATTTCTATTCAATAAAATTAAAAAAAAAATTGTCCTACTGCTTATCCGTTGTCTGTGGCCAAGGTAAACTCGTGTACTACGGTTGCCAGGCCGCCTTTTGTTTCCTATTTCGCTCGTTGATTTTCTTTGTTTTTTTCTCCGATTAGTCGCTTTTGTATAGAGCTTCTTATTGTTTATTATGAAACCTAATTCGAGGCTGTGATTGAGGTCCGGGTCGCGATGACTGACAATGTCTTGCTTATTGTTTTTATCTTATTAATTTTCTGATTGCTTTAAGGGTAGTGTTTTGATTGGTTGCGTATATTATGCATGTACATAATATGTCGGAGGTTTTAGAAGTGACACTATTTATCACAAGTAAGATGCCTGCTTGAGGTATGTAAAATTCATAAATAAAAATATAACAATAGATTCTTTTTATTAATAAAATAAACGATAATTTTAAAAAAACTATAGAAAATATACATAACTTTAGGTAACTGATAATCTTATGAGACAGGCGTAGCTTGACGAATAAAGAGACTGATCTCTTGTCTCTGATCTATGTCATAAAAACTATGAAAATATTATAAATAAATATGAATACATTTGGAATAAAGTGCCTTTTGACCTGATTAGTATTGGAGGTCCTGAATTCGAGTCCTGAGTCAGGCAAAAAAATCATTAGCAGCACAGTCTTGGGGAGATTAGTGGTGGTAAATGCCGGGCCTCGGAGAGCATGTAATTAGATCTTTGGAACATGACCACAGGACTTTGAGAGTGAAAGGAATAGAGTTAATGTACTTATGTTTTGGTACTTACTAGTGCACTTTATTAGCTCTGCATAGAAGGAAAGCTCTATTCTAAGTGTTATTAGTAAACTGTTATTGTCACATAAATTTTAAACATTTACAAAGTTGCTTAATATGACAATTCGAAGAAGGACTTAACAGTTTGTTAGTTACATAGTGCTTACATTGTTAGTTAAAATTAAAGCTAACAAAAGCGTGTTAAGACGTGCAAAGGCTATAAACTCCTAACCACAAAAGGTTCAACTAATAAATTGTAGGTATTTAAAAAAACAGCAAGAGGGAAAAGGAGTTAGGAGATCGACCGATTTTTTATGGGACTTGGTCCCTTTTTTAATCATGTGTACAAGAATGAAACCAGTTGCTTATCATAGTTAAGGTATACCGCAATCCTAATCTGCAAAGTTTTTCCCTTTTCATCTTTAATTTCGAAAAAAAAATACATTTCGATATTAGTATTTGAGAAGTATAAAGATTGACATAAATGAGAAAACCTTATAAGGTAAGTGTGTTTTCAGCCCTTTTTAACGTCCCACTGCTGGGCACGGGCCTCCCTTCAGTACGAGGGGGATCAGGCCATAATCCACCACGCTGGCCAAGTGCGGGTTGGCGGACTTCACATGACTTTTGAAAACTTGCTAGGTTCTCTCAGACATGCAGGTTTCCTCACGATGTTTTCCTTCACCGTTAAGACAAGTGGTAATCATGTTGAAAATGATTCGCACATGAAAATATCAGAGGTGCGTGACCCGGGATTTGAACCCGCTTCACTCGGTTTCCCAAGCGAGCGCGTTACCACTGGACTACCTAAAATAAGGTAAGTACTGTTATGCAAATGGAGTGTTTTAATTTATATTTACGAAGTAATTACGTAGTGCTCTTTGCTTTAATTTCTATTACGCAGTAATGTTACCACAGATAGATGATAGGGTGGTTCCCAAAAAATGTAGGAAAGAGTTGACGTAATTAACCTTCCTCAATAAATAGGCTATAGAACTACAAATAAATAATAAGTCAGAAAATGTAACTGAGTTAAAAAAATGACCCAACAAAAGTCGTGTCCAAATGCACACTCAAATGCACAGCAGCACATTTAAATTTTCGTGTACGTTTAAATTTTTATCATTGTGAACTACAGCTATGAATTATCACGCCAGCACGTTTTGTAGTGCAGGAGCCATACAATATTAAAATGTCCAGGAATCACTTTTCACTAGTACCTGGTAGCAAAATTATAATTATATTTTTAAAAGATGTTCAAATGACAAATGCATTGTCAAACCGAGATGGTCAATATTATGCAAAATGAAGTCAATCAATTTTTGATCTAATGTAGAAAGTTTTTTTTTCTTCTCGATAAAATATTGAAATGTAAATCGATAAAATTTAGATATTTTTATAATAGTAATGTATTTTGCTTTTTTTTCTTTTAGTTTCCATGCCGATCCAATTAAATAAATATTTTAATTATATTAATATTTAGTTTCGATATTTTTGTTTTAGACAGCTAAACATACGTACCTATTTCAATTAGAGACAGTCTTTCATAGATTTGAATTTGATCTTCAATGTTATTTTCAGAAGACTAATAGCAACGCTGAATGTTATGATGGCGTTGAAGAAGAACCAAAAAAAAAAAACAAAATTATAAAAAAAATCTTATTTCAATTCTTTTAAAAAGGGAGTTTAAACCCGTGTACAGAAAGTGATCTTGAATTCAGTGTATCAGAAAGTTTGTTAAACGTTTCAAAAAAGTTGCATCTGTCTCTTAAAAATAATATAGACAAAAATTTAATAAATTTTTAATTTTTCGCGGAACATAAAGCTTATTAAATTGTAAAAAGTAACCAAAAAAACTAAAATATATAATAAAAAAAAACATTGTACAATAATATTATTTTATTATTGACGAGATCCATTTATTGCATAACATCATCCAGGCCGCTATGTCATATCAGACATTGCAGCACGCGCACAAACCAATCCCCGCTTTCGGTCTGAATTTAACCCAATCACCAAGCATGTCTGTTTGTAACCTCAGAAGTGATTCTTATTTTGAATCATACGTGGTTTTGGTTTGAAGAATGGCCACTTTTTGTGTAAAATTTGGTCTGAATTAGACTTCCTGACTGATTATTATTTATTTGTAGCTATAAAACACAAAAAAAACTTAAAAAAAACGGACCAGACCAGTAGATCCAGTAATAAGCACGGTCAAACAAACAAACAAATTGCTCAATCTTATAAATATATATACATATAATACAAGAAACTACCTACCACCAATAGCAAAATTCAACTACGATTAATTCTATTTATAAAGCAATCAAAGGCTTTACGAGGACATACGACAGGTATAACATTACGGTAATTTAACACAAATCCACCAAACTACCGGCCTAACAAGCTATACTGTACACAAATAAGCATGTTGTAACTCGGTGTCGATGTGGGACGCAAATATTTATTCACGTTGGGACAGTGGTAGTTTAGCACTGGTCAAACTTTGTGTAAGTACTGTTTTGGTGTAAAATAGTTCGATTCTAAAGTTAGATTAGAACTTCGTTTGTTTGATCTTACCTAATAGGTCATTAATAACTGCCTCGGTGGTGTAGTGGCTAGCATGTACGGCTGCACACCCGGAGGTCCTGGGTTCGAGTCCCGGGCCGGGCCAAGTTTAGTTATTGAGTCTTTCTGTATAGTAAGTCTCAGTAACAGCCCGGAGTTGGGAAGTTGGCGGTGTTTCACCCCCGTGCCTCGGAGAGCACGTAAAGCCGTCGGTTCTGCGCCTTAACTCTTACCGGTCGTGTCGAGCAGTCGTACCACCGGAGTATGAGAGTGATAGAAATAGAGGGTGCATCTGTGTCTGCGCGTACACTTGTGCACTATAATATCTCCTGCGCAGTTGGCTAGTCTCAATGAGATTCGCCGCCGTGGCCGGAATCGGTCAGGAGAACATCATCATCATCAATATGGGTAAAGCTGTTTGTACTATTTTATTTACTTTTCTATACTAATATTATAAAGACGTAAAGTTTGTTTGTGAGGTTGTAGGGGGTAATCTTTAAATC